ATTTCATTATTCAGAAGTGCTAAATATAAATGCTAAATATAAATTATTTTAAGAGTTTTGAATGAGAAAATATATTAAGATACAAGATATGTTATTATTATATTTATATATTGTATTTTTTAAATAAAATATATTAATTAATGAAATGGATTTGAAAATTAATGTAAAAAAGAATCAACTAAAAATATATTGAAATTATAAATATATAAATATAATATATAATATATAATTATAAATTAATTAATTTTATTATATTATTTGTTAACTGAAATATAAATATTTTGTTAACTGAAAAGTTAACTTGGTCACTTCGAATTATTACTTGGTACTAAATAATATACTTTATATAAAATTATAAAACATAGAATTTAAATAATTTTGAGGCATTTTATAAAATATTCTTCTTATTCTCTTTTTATATATAGAAATTATGGAGATTTTAAAATTATTATAATATAAGCTATGCTTATATTATATAATATTATAAGCTATGCTTAACAAAATATTTTCATAATGTATAATATTTTCAAATGTATATAGAAGAGCTATTAAATTTGAGAAATTAAAAAAAAGATATTCAGAATATTCAGATGACTATCAAAAATTTTTTCTTTAAATTGTTTCTAACAACATAGTTTTATTATTCGATTTCTGAAAAAAATACAGTGTAAAAGTAAATACAGAAGAACAAATAATATTAATAATTCCAAAAAATATAATGCTATTTATTTTTAATGTAATTTGTTAACGTATATGAATTCTGCATTTGCAAAATGATTATTAATAATTTAATATCAAATATCATTCAAAAAATAATATTATTAAAATACAGTCATTGATCTATAATCAATTATTAGTTCCATGTTGTAGACAATTTTTGATACGTTTGATTTTACTCTAGTCGTATGAATAATTGTTTAGAAAAAGAATTCGAAAATTTTATGGATTTCTGTTTCACAAAATTGATTGTGATGATAATTGCAATTATATGTTATTCTTAAGTATCAACAGTATAAAATATATAAAATACGTTTGTATATATTTTTCAAAAACTTTTATTATTGAGAATGTTTTTTTTCCCTCTTTGAATATTAATTTGATCATTAACGATGCGGCGTAAATATATGAATATTTAGTAGATTTCACTGTACTTTCCCAGATCAAATTTATTCATTAAAATGTGGCGCATGTGGAGATTTTATATTTTCCTAAAAATACGTTCAATATTTTCGTATTGTGCTTTTTATTTTTCAACTTTAATGCCTAACTCATGCAATTTATTTTACATGCCGATGAAATTGATTTCATTGTCTGAGACTATTGTTTTGTATATTGTTTTGTGAGCTATAAATCTGCGTAAGTAATTTAAGAATGCCTCCATGGTATAAGATATACAGCTAATTCCAAATGCTTTGTAATGCAAGCATACAAAAAATACATAAGAATAAGTTTATTATGATTTGGTTATGAGTCAAGAATGGATTCATGTCAGGTAAGAACAGCCAATGTTACGTATTTCACAAATATTGATTTATTATGTATTGTGAGGATTGAGATTTTGCCTAAAATTTAAAACTATATTTTCCTGATTCGTTTTAACAAGAATTTGTATAAGTTAATATTGCTCTTGTAATAATGTCATTATCTGTTGATATCTTATATGTAATTTGTTTGTGTCTTAAATCTGTCATTAAATCTATGACCAAATGTCACATCAGCAATATAATAGAATAACATTTTTCATGAGCGAATTCTATGAGCGCATTTCATAATCTAGTAATTATATTAATTCCATCTTAAACTAAAAATATATTCAATAGAAATAATTTGCTCGATTTTACTAGTGATTTATTTAGTGTTTTGAGATATGATAACTTCATTAAGAAAATCTTCTTCTAAATGATGCATTTTACAATTAATTTGACAATCGTTAAAATACCAAATTTAAATTTCTACTGAAACTGATGCGATAAATTTTTACTAAATAGAATGTAATTTTTAATAAATAGAATGCAGAATAGATATGTGAAATCAGAATATTTTTTCAGTAAGCCGTTTTTCTATTTCGTTTTTCTGCAAACAAATTGAGTTATTTACGAAAAGATTTGTTTATTTTTGATATAATTGATCAATTTTCAGTAATTAATTTTTGATTTTTTTGAAAGAACGAAAGTAAAAATGGATCCTCACATCAAAAAATAATTGAGTAAAATGCTCTCGCTCTATTCTATTTCTTCTGCTATCATACACATTGTTATTTGGCAAAAATCAACGATGGAAATATCAAGATTCGAGTAAAATAGAATAATTTCAATTAAAATATCAATTATAAACAAACAGAATTTTTATTTGATTGGAAGATTACGTAATGTTATAATATTATAATACTATAAAATCATTATTCTATTTTACTTTATTTTTATATATTGTCGATTTTTTTCTCAATTAATGATCACAATTTATACAATGGGTACAATGATAGGAAAATAGAATAGAGTGTAATAAAAGTGTAAATATTATAGCCATCTGACAAATGCACAATATCTGATAAATCTTTACAATTCTGGTGATCGATTAAAACATTTGACGCGCAAATATGAAATGGTTATTTTGTTTGAGTTTTTAAAAAAATATAAGAAAAATGTATTCATTTATTATTATTATAAATTGAAAATTATTAAGGATCTTAATAATGAAGAAATTATTGAATAAATGAAATTCGAGCTTTAAAAATTATTTCTAGCCGCTTAATATTCTATTATTGTGATGTAGATCTGCAGCTGTTATGAAATATTTATGTTATAACAAATGTTTGAATGATTCTTTGATATTTCTATTCTTTTCTATTTTTTTTCACATTTTTTTTCATATTTTTTATTACTTAATACTTATTCTATATTTAATACTTATTCTATATTACTTATTCTATATACTTATTCTATATTTTTTTCTTTAATTTTTAATATTTTTTATTAGAACATCTTATTAAATATTTTAAACATTTATAATAGGAGAATATATTTTCTTTTTTAAATAGTCTTATAAAAAAAATTAAATAGTAACTGAGAATAGTTAAATTAAATTTCATATAATAATCCAATTGTTTTGATAATTTCTGTTTAAATATATGATGACAATTCTAGAATTATCTATTATCTTGTTGAAAGTAATATTTTTTGTTGTATATAAATAACAGATATTTATATATATATCGTATAAAAAAATAGATTAAATTTTAAAAAATTGTAATATCTTAATCCTATGATTCATTTATTAAATATTAAACATTTATTGTGTTATTACTGATTATTATTTTTGAAATAAATTTGAAATGTGTTTGAATTAGAAATTTTGAAATTTATATTCTCTGAATATATTTCGAGTAAATGCATAAGGATTTTATTTAATTTCTCATACACTTAATATAAGATGCATGCTTATATTAACCAAGATTTTAGAGAGTATGAAATCATTCGAGATTTTATTTTTTCGTCTAGATTTCGTTAATCATATTCTATGAATGAATTTCTTCATTTTTCTTTCCATTTGCAGAAGAGAAGAAGATTCAAACTCGATTGACTTATTGTTATATATACAAAATGTTATATACAAAATATTGGCCGTTGTTATATATTCTCTAATTATTCGTTTAAACAAAATTATAGTTGCTAGAAAAATTATAATTATTTTCCTGTAGCCAGTCAGCTTTTCCTAAAGACAATCATCAGTTCGTTTACTAAAGACAATTCAATTGCATAATACATTAGAATTACAAATTCGAGTTTGGATATTATATCTATGCTTCACTGAAATTTGAAGTTCCTAATTCCTATTTTCAACTCGTCTATATTTCGAAAATTTTCTAGTTCATTTAGTTTGATCTTGAAATTATCTATTTTCTTGTTAAAAATTAAATAGCTGATAAATTGTATTATCGTTTTTCAAAGGTATATAGAAAACCATTGCTTTGTCCATAATATTCGATGTAAAATAAAACATATATTAGAAATCTATATATTAAAAACGTCTATATATTAATAAAATTAATTAAAACTTTATCTTAACTTTTATGTTAAATTTTTTCTCAAAGCAGATTTGAGATAACAGATTGTGGGCCATACTAATCATAATTATTTTTCAAATTTTCAACAAAGTTTTTCTTATTTTTCTGCATATCTGATTTTTTAAGTTTTTGCTTTTCGAGATCAAGTTTTATATCTGTGCAGAGAAAATATTATGGATTTGTTTTATATGATGCGATATTATGCTATAGCATATTATGTTTTAGATGTTATGTTTTATGATTAGATTTCCTAAAGTTATTTGTCTGAATTTTTGAATTTTTTCGAAAACAATAACAAATCATATTATAATGCAAATCTAGCTATCTTATATTAATATAAGTCAATTAAATGCAGCTACAGCTTCATTGGCTTTTATTACAATTATGATATGATTTTTTTTGCTTTGTTTTGCTTTAATTATCGGCATCTTTATAATTCTTTAGATTTTTAATTTTTAGATTTAATTTTTTCTTTGCAAGAATTTTTTGTTTCCTCTTCAATGATACTGTTAAGATTATTAATTTCGAAAATCATCTTTCTGATGTTTGTTCTTCTATGATTTTTTGTTATCATAATAACAAGTTTTTATTCTTAAATATTTTATAGTTCAAGAAGATCTTTTTTGATTTAATTTTGTATATCAATCACATTTCTTTACAATTCTTTGACTTGATATCTTTGCATTTATTCCCTTTACCTATTTTAACTCTTTGCACTTCAGGTCTGTTTCACCAACAACTCCGGACTCGGACCCGTCCGTTCGACGCGTTCAGTGGAATTTCTTACAGCTACTTTATAATGATTTCACACACAAATTAATGTATAATGTTTAATGTTGTATAAATTTTTATATTTTATGTAATTTTAATATTTTATGTATGTTTATATTATATATAAAGAAACAAAATTTATTGATTATTAAAATCTATATTGTTATTTTGTATGATATTTTACAAAGCAATTACCAAGATGCATTCTCGGTTTGTCAGGGCAAGTAGAGCAATAGTACTTTTCCTTCTAACTTTTTTATTGCATAATTAAATTTATTTCGCACATTATTTCATTAATAAGTTTATTAGTAAAAAATAGTTTTAAAAAATCTAATAGTTCATTTATATTCGAAGATACTTGCGGTCCTACAAATTTTTCATCGGGTACAAATTCTTCATTATATTTTTCGATTCTATGCATGTTATCCATTTGGAATTTTCTGTCTTCTGTGATATCTTCACTTGAATTATTGCTTTCACATTCACTATCTATTATTCTTATTTTTCGCCTTCTTATATTCGCCTTATTATATTATAATATTATATTAATATATATATATATATATTATTCTTATTTCATCTCTATGTTCATCATTACTTTCTCTATCGTTAATTTCTTTATGAATAGAAGTAATTTTGTCATTCAATAACGAAAAATCAAATCTCATCTTAAACTAATTTCATTACAATGCTTATTCTATGTTTACAAATCTCAAAAACTTTGAAAATAATATTTCTATTGCCACGATTGTTAAACTCAGATTAACGCTGAAGATGTTGTTCGACTTACGATCACGGTTTAATTTGAAATAAAAAATATAGCTATTTAATAGTATAGCATTCTACATTCTACACTTCATAAGATTATAAAGATTATAAGATTATAAGATTATATATTCATAAGATTATAAGATTATAAAGAGCTTAGGAACTTATTTATGAAGATATTCTAAAAAAATCAAACATAAATAAATATTGTCACATAAATAAATATTTAAGTTACCGCATTGATCCAAGTGATGCTAGAGAGTCACCGCTGGAGTTACGGTATTAACTCAAGTAGTGATCAAGAATCACCGTTGGAGCGCAAAAGGTTAAAACTTGGAAAAAGATTATTTTTTTATATTTGTCACATTTTTTTTAAATTTTGTGAAATAAAAAATGAATTAAATAAAAAATGAAATTTTAATAACGCGAAATTTAATTTTTTGAAAAAATCACAATATTTCATGTAGATCAGAGACTTGTCATTTGGTGCTATCATTATTAAGCTAATATTCTCGAAATATAAATATATTTACAGTTTTTGATTATTGAGCCGAGAATTTTAAAGGAACTAAAAACAGATATTGATGAAACGTATAGTTAATATTTCAAAGATTCCGCTTAAAAATAGTTATAAATTCTTTATGATCATGTTATAAATCTTATCGATGAAAATTTGATACTATGTGATTTGTTTAACGA